GTTGAGGCCTTGTGCTCTTGTATTCTGGCAGACAAGGGAGCTGATTTGTCCTGTGACAGGACCAGCAGCTGAGTTCAGGTACTCACATTTCCAGACCTGGACAAGTCTGTGCAGGCTGATCATCCTCCTTAAGCATGTTTGTGAGAAACTGTGAAAAGCGGGAGGGGGAGAAGAAACATGCCATCTCCTATTTTAAATATAGATTGGTTCCAGCATGGGGAACTGATGGTTCAGCAAACACCAAGTGGGGAGCACCCAGAGCCATCACAGAGTCCTTGGGACAGACCTCAGCGTCCGGGAACTGAGCATGGCAAGCTGGGACAGTAACTTGTTTCCCTCAACAATTATCTGGTTTAGAGAGGATTGAAAAAATCACTTTGAGAAGCCTCTCACAGACCTTCTCTGTGACAGGGAAACATGGAAGCAGAGGAATTTAGGAATGATAAGAGGCAGCCCCAGACACCCTCCTGGCTGCTATCAGTCCCTGGCCCCTTGCACTTCTCCATTGTCCCATCTTCCTGGTGTGCAGTTCAGCAGCCTGCATTAGATTAAATGCTTACACAGTAGACAAAATGAGTTTTCTCTCTCTAACAAAAGCTACGGAATTTTATTTCTTTCCTCATTTACTTTTTCAAAAAGACACAGGGCTTTTAAAACTTTGTGACAGTTATGTCCTTAAATATATAACACACTGTAATCGCAGGTTCCTGAGGAACCTCCCCACATCCACCACCTGGGAGACCCAAAATGAGCAAGGTTCTGTCTGTCTGGGCAAAGGTTGCTCCAGGGGTTGCCATTGTAGGGCTGAGGTAACAGCAGGTGCTCCATGAGCAAGACACAGGGGTTCAGTCCTGATTGACTTTAGAAAGGGCCATTTCTGAGTTATGACAGTCCCTGCCCAGCCAGATGGTTTCCATCTTGCAGTATTTCAGCCATAGCACCTAAAATTAACGCCAGTTCCGGAGTTATTCACAGAGTTAGGCACATTTCTTTCTGTAAACTGAGATTTTAATCAAACATGAAGGCGTTAGGAAATACCTTGAGCACAGGTTGTAGTGGAGCCAGTCTCTTCAGAAGGATTGAAGGGAGGTTAAAAGCTAGGTACATATTCTTTCATAAAAGCAGGTAGATGAATCAAAGGGGGATGAGGCTGTTTTTCTGCTCCTTTTGTTTGTATAGAAGCTGTTTGGCATCTATATTTTGTGGTTTCGTTTGTTTGGCAATAGACTGCCATGTGGCTTTTCTCTTTTCTTCCAGCTGAAGCTCTATGTTTTCTAAGAAGTATAAATCACAATGACAGGTAAAATAACAAAACTTTTATCAAAAATATATGCAACTCTAGTGTTTTAAGAGCATGTGGCTATAGCATGCATACATTGTGGTTTTAGGGAGAGATTGGAGAGAGATAAATCTGCTTCCACCCCTCCACGGCATGGTAAACCCCCGTTTCAGTACCCAAGGTACAGATTTCCTTCTTTCTTTCCCTTCCTTTCCTTCCAAATTGTCAGTCTTTTAGGTACGAGTCCAGAACACCAGCCTCTAATCTGCTCAAAAAAGGAAAGTTAAAAGCTGACATCAAAATCACACTCCCTTCTTTCTTGGTGTGTTTTCTTTGTTTTGATCTGTGTCATTTCCCTCAAAATAAGCCAACTTTGTTCCTCCAGCTATTATTCCTTGTGAAAACAGCCTAAAATATTTTCCTCATTGAAACCTGGACACCTGTCTTAGTTCAATAATCGCTCAGTGCCTTAAGTGAAGCAGATGCTGTTGAGTCAGACCTACAGAAACTCTACTCTTCCTAGTCATTTTTGTTATCTAGATTCTCCCTTCTAAAAAAGAATAGCCTTAATCTGTATGTCACCTAGTTCTCCAAGGGAGCTACACAAGGCCACTGAAAAGAAAACTGCAGAACATCTGGAGGCTGCACAGTCTGCTCTACCCAGCCTCCTCCCCAGGCTGGAGTCAGCTGTGCATCCTGCTGACTCAGACCCGCCACGCTTTCACAGGAGTAAGATATGACTAAAAAGTGCTAAAGCAAGTGTTCATCTATAATTAAAATTTGCCAGCTACATCTAAATTAGTTCAAAATACCTTTTCCAGAAATCGCTATTCCTATAAAATGAGATTTTTCCTTTTCAGATCAAAGAATAGTTTTAATAAACGAGGACAAAATTATCTGTGGAAGCATTTCTTGCAAAAGGTGGTGATTAAATTGCCTCACTTTCTAACCTAATCCCTTTGACTTCTGCAAAGCATTTCCTGGGAAGGTGCTGGCAGCAACCCACCCCTCGTGGTGTTTCCCTGCTGTGTATGAACCCCAGGTCAGATCCCAACTCAGCTTCACTGAGGGGGTGACCCAGGGCTGTGACCCCTGTGATCACCTGAAAAAGCAGCAGACGAAGTCAGTGCCTGCTTTGTAGCTGTCTGTTGGATTATTGATATTGAAGAGAAGGTCATGCAGACTCAGAAAACCCCGAAATGTGGCATCCTTGCTCCTTCAGAGCACTCTCAGCCAATTCCCCTGGTTTTCTCCATCATAATGAAAGCTCTTGCCCAGCCACCCTGCTCCTGGAACAGTCAGGGGAAGGGCATTCTGCAGCACAGCAGCAGTTTTGCTCCACCAAAGACAAGACTTCAAGCTGAGAGATATTTCTGGGGAGGGTTCAAAGAGGCTGCTTGCTGCTATGCAAATTGGCCAAGGTCCCCCTGGTGCAACTATCCCAGCCAGCTAGTTTTCCACACGCCTCTTCTAAAATTATTGAAATTTCTATTGACCTCCAGCAACACAAAAAATTTTCCTCTATTTCACCGTATTTACTGTGTGCTGAATGGCATGAAAAGCAGGCAAATGATTACAGAGGGAATCTCTGTCCAATTGGCATCGTTTCAACAGAGTCAGAGGAAAATCTCAGCATAAGCATTTTCTCAGGTGTCCAAGAAGCTATATTAAGAATATGGTCTTGGAGGAATAAAATAAATAATTCTGTTTTATTTCAAGTGTGACAAATTTTTTTATAATTGTTCTTATTGCTTATTACTGACCCAAAACTCAGGGCAGATTAAAATATCAAGAGACAGGCCCATATGGCAAATATTCATGGTCATGCTAAGCATTAAATGGATGGATGAGCAGAGGGAAAAAAAAGAATGGCTGCAGACTCTAACACTGAAAAAGACATTAGGTGTATTCTCTGGGTTGAAAGGAGGGAGGAACACTATGAAAAAGGTGAATTGGGAGCCATAGAATCATAGAATGGCCTGGGTTGGAAGGGACCTTAGAGCTCATCTCTTTCCAAATTTCAGGGAACACCTTTCACTAGAATGGGAGGTAAGAGCTGAGTTAAGACCTTCTCTTCTACCCTCTATTTTTTAATGAAGAAGAAAGGGGGTCTGGGACAGTGGCTGTGCAAAGAGACAGGGCAGCTCAGTCCCACATGTGCCCCAAAGAAAAGAGCTGGAAAAGCAAGTCTCCAGGTCTAGAAAGCAGACTGATAGGTTTGCTATGAAATCTATGGGACAGGCTTCTGGGAGCAGAGTGGGGTTTCAGTCTCAGCTCCTTGAAAGCTGAAACCCTGGGCTTCTCCATCTGGTGCTCCTGTGCCCACTCTGAGATGGGTGGGAACACTTTAGCAGAGGAAGCTCCACCTTGCACAGCTGCCAGCCAGACATGGCTGGACAGCAGGCCCCTGAAAGTATGCATAGCTTTGTTCACTTCTCAACAACAAAACCCCTAAAGGATTTAAAATGGTTAAGCTACGTTTTTTCACATGTTTGAATCATGCTCTATTTCTCCATGCCTTCTGTTAATGATGAAGTGGCTGGCCAGCAAGACAGCCCTGCTCAGGCAAACCCTTAAAAACCGTGATCATATTTGCCTACAGCTTGGCTTGCAGAGATAAAATAATAGAATAATAAATCCTCCTCCCCCGTCACTGAGGAGCTTTGATTTTCCAAAATTAAATAACTTGGTGGATTGTGGCAGTGCACAATTTACCCTTTCAGCATGTGAGTCACAATCCACTTTAATTACTTAAGTAATTCAGTCCCCAAGCCTCGTTTACTGTGGGCACCATTTCACTGGTTGGCATCCAGCCCGTGATTTGTAGCTGCCTCTGAATCTCCCACATGCGTGCAGCGCTCCCCTACATAAAACTTTATATATTCCTACACTCCTTCCAGGAGCTATATATTATTTACATCATCTGTATTGCAAACATACCAGAAGAGTGCTAGAGTTTTCTCTGGAGTTCAGCAGCCTTTTCATGTTGCCCATGCCTGAAAGTACATTAAACATTCCTGCTTCATCCTGTATCTCCACTTTACTGAGCACACAGCCTCTTCCGTGCAGACCAGTACTCCCCCTCTAAGTAGGTGAAGGTTTGTTTACTCACACAGTGCAGGACAGCTCCTAAGCCTGTAATTCTGAAAAAAAGCAGCTGTAATGGCAGTGAGAAACAACAGAAGGAACTGGGTTGCCATATTTCCTCCTCTGAACATTTGAATAGGTTTGGCTAGAAGTGAAGGAGAACTAAAAACCACAAAGTTAGGTGGGATCACCAGCGAGGAAACAAGCTGAGAATGCCTCTGCAGTTACGGTAACTGGTAGGACCAGTGGGGAGAGGCAGCATAGAGAAAGAGGAGGGAGGAAGCCTTGCAGAGTTCCCATGCACACGGCTGGTCTGCAAACTATCTCCCCTGCAACCGCCTCGAGTTCTGGGAAATCATTTATGTGGCTTTTGGAGCCTTTGTTCTCAAATGGACCCTTGGTTGCTTCAGACACTGATCAGCTTACAAGCTTTTCTGGGCAAACACGAGAGGAAAAATATTGTTTGGGAGAAAAACGGAATATTGCAGAAAGTAACGTTTCTAGAGCACACATTAGAGCCAGATGTTCCACTCGAAAGTATTTGTGGTCAGGGACTATGCCGAGAAACCAACTGCTGTAAAGGGAAAAACCCAGAATTGCAGCATGCTGGATACAAAAAAAAGTTACACCAAGAGAAAAAAGAATATTGAAGAAGGATATATTAGGTGTCTTACAGTCTGACAACTGTAATTACAGGTTACTATCCAAGTCAGAAAAGGGTTGGATCCAGCTCCCACCTCTTCCACAGATGTGCTGCTGGATTTTGACCAAACCACGTAGGCTTCGCTTCGGTGTTGACTAAGGACTTGAGGGTTTTGCTGCACTGAGGGGTTCTTTTTCCTCTCTCACTGTGCCTTAGTCACAAGGACTGGATGCAGCCCAGAGGCAGCAAGTTCTGGGAGGACTGGCAGGAGAAGGGCTGGCATGGCAAGGTGCTTCATAGCCATTTCTCCAGGGCACCACAGAGCACGGGGAGGAAGAAGGTGGCTGTCAGTCCCTCAGGGCCTTTCCCATCCCAGTAGACCTTTCCTAGGACAGTGATCCCCTTGTAAATAGGGATTTGGCTGTTTCTCTGACATTTTGAAGAGCTGTGAGGGACAGACGCTGATACATTTAGGTCTCCCATGTCAGATAGTGATGGAAGATGAGGAAAAGCCTACAAATAAAAATAAATACATCAGTCATATATTTTAAAAACATAGCAGAAGAACATCCATACTGAAAAGCAAGGAATCACCTGGCTCTATACCCTTAGTGTGGTCAGCAGGAAACACTCAAGTGAAGCATATGAGAAGTAATGCAGGCACTGAGTGACCCTCTCCTGCTCCTGGTGACATAGTAACTTCTGGGGTTTCATCCTCAATATAATTTTGAACAGAAAATGATGGCCTTATTCCCTGACAAATTGCCCCATCAGCTTTTGAACCCATTTATTATTTTGGTCTCCATAATATCTCGTGGCCATGACTTGCACAACTTCACCACATGCTGGGTGATGAAGTGCTCCCTTTTTAAATGCCCAGCTGATTATTTCATCAGCCCTTATTCTTATATTGTCAGGAATGATAATTAATCTCTTTCCTCAACTACCCATTACCATTCATGATGTTATCAGGCTTCATCTCTTCCCCAAGATGAAAATACCCAGTATATTTTGCTTTTTCTCACACAGAAGTCATTCCATTCACTGAGCCTGCTTCTTCCTTTTTCTGGGCCACTTTCAGCTCTCCATTCCAAGCTGTGGTGATGAGTTCACTGCACAATATGCAGAATAAAAATAAATCATGAATTTATGTGGTAGCATAACTAATTTTTTCTGTTTGTTCCCTATTCCTTCCCTGACAATTCCTAATAATCTTTTTGATCACCGCTGAGCAATGAACTGATTTTCACGGGGACTTATCAGTAATGACTCCAAAATCTCTTTCCTGAACATCAGAAGCTAATTTAGAAACTCTCATTCTGTATGTAGCTAGAGTGCTTTTTCACCCCATATGCACCATTTTACATCTATTGACATTGAATTTCTTCTATCATTCTATTGCCCAATCACTAAGCATTGTAAGACCCTTCTTCAAAGGCGAATATCAGAAAATTGATAGTGAAATTTGGCCAATTTAATGTTAAATGTATTTGTAATTTCATAGGAAGCATAGTCAATATACAAAGAATGCAACTCGGTGAAAAACATACCACTTACTGCCAAAAAGCCCTGGGAAGTTCATTTCACAGAGGATCTGATTTCTAGAGAAAATAAATTCTTCTCTTCTTTTGTGGCTGGAGGAATTACAGTTTTCCAGTCTAAACTTCAAGTCTGAAAGATCTGTGACATAAGGAACGCTGAATTTGGCAACCAGGGAGTCAGCACCTCTTCATTGTCTCAGTGGGCTACATAAGCCTATCCATTTCAGAAAGTAATGACATCCCAGTCAGGATAGCTACATCCTGACAAGGCTGTACCAGGTCTGACAGGGCTGTGAATTGGTTGGTGTTCTTCAGTGTCCTGAGACCCTGGTGCAGATGCACCACATGCTTTGGTGTTTGCATCCCCGGCCCCTGCACCACAGGTGGCTGCTGCTCAGATGCTGCATCCCCCTAAGGTACACTTCAAAAATTATTTTCATTAATAGCTTTCTCTAATGATTTTTGAGCCACCTGTATAGGCCACCTACAAGCAGTTGGCTGTGTCACCAAAGGGCACATCCCACTTTTAGGAGAACACAAATGTTCTCTCTGTGCAACAAGAGAGCTGAAGGGGACTTGTTACCACTACGAGTGAGTTTAAGTGTGGATAAGGTGAACAAGTCCTGAAATTTGTGTGTGGGTGCCTGCATAAGCCATGAGGTAACTCTTTGGCCATGGATTTGCAAGCACAGGACTTGGGAGAGATTTGATGCAGCCTCCTGTCCTTCTCAGGCAAAATGCTTCGGGCTGCCACAGGTTTCCTTCCCTCCCTCCCTCCCTGCCTTCCTCACCCCTCCCCATTGCCTTGACTCTAGGAACTTTAATTAAGCAAATGTACAGGCTTGTGCTTTAGCACACACAGTCTTTTGCTGGTGTTAAATGAGAGTTTGCTGCATCCAGTGTCATCACAATTCTGAAATTCCACATGGAGCACTTTTCACTGAACTGTGTTCAATTATTTATTCAGGCTCTGGTTCTGTCCCCACTGAATGCAAGAGCACTGACTTCAACTCAAGGAGTAGCAGGCATACAGTTGGAAAGAGAAAAAAATGTGAATTAAAAGCCACTTAATCTCACTTAATCACATTTCCTCTCCTCCTTGCCCAAAAGAATAAGATTTAGAACACAAATAAACTCTCTGAAAAGGAAAACTATTAAGTAAGTTTCAAAGTCAAGATCATGCCAACTAATATTATCTATTTCAGGACTTCCTGCCCTCCTTATCTCCTTTTAATTAACCTATTTCTGACCTGGACCATGTGTTTGTCTGGCAGACACAGTCCCATTTTGCAATTGCTCTTGGCTAAATAAAAGAGTCTGTAGTAATGTTTGTGATCAACACTGTGCTACGTGTTTCCTGCAGCAAAGCTGAGAGCAGCACCCGAGTGAGGCCGGGAAGCAGATGTGGAACAGGAGCAACGTAGCGGGAAGACAGGGTTTCACTCAAAATACTGCACATTGAAGTGGTTGATAAAACAACGTGGTCAATCTGCTTCTGTCTCCCTGTTTCTACAGCTCAGATGTCTGGACAAAATCCTGGAGCCGAAGGGAGCACAATCAGCAGAACTTCTATTCATTCTTATCTTCTAAAGTGCAGATTTAAAATCCTCCTGTGCACAGTGACAAACAGGCCATTGAGGGTGACAATAAATTCACTTCCCAAATGGAGTCTATCCCTTTATTATAAATCTGAAAATAAATCCGATAAAATTCTCAGGCCTCAGATAACAACTAGAGGTCCCAAGTGTGTGTTATGCAAAAGGCAGCAGCCCCAAAAATATGTAGTTTTAACTGCCAAAGATTTTACCTCTTATGATTTTAGTAGCAATTTGATGAAGCCCTGGACAGCACAAAGACAGACACTAATCTGCTTACCCAAGAAATCCTGTCCTCCAAAAAGTACAGAGGCTCAGACTAGGGCAAAACTGAGCTTGAACTCTAACATCCTCTTCCAGTTCAGTGAATTGCAATAGGAACATTACATAAATAAAAGAGTTAAGGGAAGGAAGCAAAGCAGGATTCTGATGCAAGAAAACAAGAATGAGTAGGATAAAATACTTTTATCTGTGTGAGTGAAAAACTTGTTGGTAGATACAGGAAACCAGTGCTATGAATAGATAGTTTCACTGCTGATTCCTTTTCTCCCCAATTCTTTTTCTTATTGTGTTCCAATAATTAGAATAAAATGGTGGTTATTCAGTGCAGGAAAGCCGTAGAAATACGAACTAGTCACAGCCAACTATGAACAATTGCAATGGAGATTTAGAAGGAGAAAAGCAGATAAAAGGCAGTTTAGAAGAAATTCTTCCAAGGAAGGCAAATGGTGGCAGGATCACACCACATGGTCTGGAAGAGGGCGTGTCTGAGCTGCCTTGGAGGTGATGCTGTTACACTGTGGAATGGTGTCTGTGTGGCCTCACAGCTATGTGACTCCCCAGAAGTCCTTTGTTGGACCCCAACACCTTCCAGCCCAGTCCAGCTCCAAGCACTGCAGTGTCTTGGAACAAAAACGACTACCAATGTGAAACCTGAAGACAAAAATAAACACAAGTTCTTCTCTTCCATCACAGGCTCAGCTGAAATATAACCCAGTCCCAAGCAGAGAGGAGATAATCTTAGATGTTGCTGCCAGCCTGTTTACTTACTTACTGTCAGATGATAAACGCTGGCAAGCCTTCATCTCCTGTTTTACTCCTGAAAATGCTGTTCTCCAGAGTTTCTCCTGTCAAAGTCATGCTAAAGTGGACATCAGCTAAGGTGGGTGCACTGGTAATGGTGATGAGGTTGCTCCAGCATCACTCCCCCAAGCTGCTGTGTGGCTCAGTATGATTTCCTCACACTTCCTTTCCTTATTCAGGGTAATGATATTACCCAAGGATGGTGAAATATACTGTGGCAGGCAAGGTGAATCTTCAGTGCTGTGAACAGGCTGGGCTTGAACACAAACATCACAGCTTTTGCCTCTAGACAGTGCCATCACAAATGAAATTGAAACGTTAGAACCCTTAAATGCAAAGTGCACATCTCTGGCAACAAATAACTATATACCAGCTGCTACACCAATTAGCAACACAGGTCTTTTGTACCTCTCCTCAGATCTGGAAGATAATAAATGCTCGTTCCCGGGAGTAGAATATAGAAGAGCATCATCCAGCATCACTAAAGACTATTTAATCAACAGCTTCCCTCCAGCACCGGTCAAGGAAGAAGGATTTGCTTCTCAAAATGCTCTTTTGTCTCTAACTCTTTTAGGAAGGATTTTCTGCTTATTGTCTTTCACTGACCCAGACCGGCCTCTGCCTCAACTGGGCAAAACATCCCTGGGAACTAAAAAGTTTGTTGTGAAATAGAGCTGGAAAAGTACTGGGAATATTACACCAAAACAGAGTGTTTTGGATGTTGCTTGATCAATGTTTCATTTCAGAAACACCTACATCTTCTGTCTGACAACAAAGCAAGCAATTTCTCTGAAATAACATTATTTATCTAAACAGATATAGAGCAGAAAAAGGTTAAAAGGGTTAAATACTCCCAAAATGAAAAATCTTTTTTCATTTAAGTAAAGCATTTAAGTTTCACTAACGTATCCTTAAAAATACCCTTTTTGGCTCAGCATCAGATGAACATTTTTCCATTCTTTTGGTTCAATTGACATTCTGACAAAACTAATATTCACCTCTCTCTTCCACAGCACAAATTCAAAGCAGGAATACCCCTATCTTCCCAGACAATACTGTGTGCTGTCCTAAGAAGAATTTCTTTGAAGTTGAGGTGTCTTGAGCACGAAAGCTATGAATAGATACTGAAGAAGGTGACTTGGGACAGCTGTGAGTTGTATAAAGGGTGATTTGCCCACTCAATGAGAGCAGCAAAATTGGATTCATTTTATTTCCATGCCAAGCCATGTCTCCATATGCCTGTAATTTTTTTTGTCTGTAAAATTACTTTCCTACAATAAGTAGGAAAGGTTCTGTAGGTCAAGGCTTAGAGACATTCATAGAAAGCAGAAGGAAAATGTAATAGCTGTAGCTTTACCATTGAGTTTTTTGTGATAAGTCTATATGAACATCCAGGTATGAGGGAAAATGACAGATTTTAAATCAATCCTTTAGCTTATTACCAAAAGCAAAAGCAGCTTTAATTTAAGCTTCCACTTAGACATCATACCCACACTGTAATTTCAAATAAACAACATTTAAAACTGGAGCTAACAAGACTGATAGTTAAAAGCCTGATGATTAATCCATCACTTCACCTGTCTTCCCAAATTATGCATGTTTAGCCAAATAAAGTATTAACATTCTGCATTTTACATACAGCAGCATTGAATAAAATAATCTACTGTGACAAATGTTTCCAGAGGGGGAGGAGGGGGAAATATTTGTAAACTGTTGAGAAAGCTGATGTAATGAACAAGGAGCTCTCAGAGACTTCATAAGCAAAAGGCTGAGCTTTCTGAACAACACCTTGCACCTATTTTCTGAAGGCACTTTTTCCTCGTACTGAATGACACCACTGTGTGTCTGTGGCTGCTGTTCCTGGCATGGAAGCGGAGAGAGGGACACTGGGAAGGTTTGTGCACCTTTCCCCATTACAAACGGTTTCAATATCAAGCTGCAAAAAGACACAGCTAGAGATAGGAAAGGGAAAAATGAAAAAGTAGAGAGAGCTTAAAGTCATGCTCCATCCAGAAGTGTGGTGTGGGGCTGAAAGAAGCTGCCCGAAGTAGCTGTGGTTTCTCACAAGAGGAGCCTGAGACTTGCAGACTGACTGACTCAGAGCAGACCAGGAGAGAGAGTAATAAAATGCAATGCCAGCTTGTGAAACACAACCAGAATAGCACAGAGTGCTGTGACACATAGTCAGGGAAACAGGCACATTACCTCATGCATATGTTTGGAAACTGTTTTCAAGGGAGCTTTTCTGGTGATAGGTACAGTTTGTTCCTCATTCCCATTTAGCTAGGTAACATTTTCACTGATTAAGGAGAAACATAAACCAGTTAGAGCAAGACAGTGACACATCCTGGCTCATGTCTAGGCTTGAGCTGGGAGGATGAAACTATGTCACCAAACCCGTGAGCTCTTTGTGGGGTGTTGTATGTGACCGAGTCAGGGTGCCCACTGAGAAGGACCTGAAACGACAGGAAAACCAAGATGTATTTTTAACACACTTGCACAGCATGTCTTGCACTTCTGCCACAGTATAAAATCTTAAAACCAGGAAGGGATGATGTACAAGAGCGTGACAAGAAGGCACTGAGGGAAAGATGGTTTTCGTTGAGGGAAGACTGCTCCTTGGGCAGGCTGTGCTCTAGTAAGTCATTCCTTGGCCCTGCTTATGCTCTTTTCCTGCTGTCATGATGTTAGGCTTAAGAAGAGCTCAAGTTGTTGCTGATTTTCCTCCAATTATACCATCTATTAATGTCCTGTTAGAAAGCACTGTCACCAGCATATTATGGTGATGTTATTATTCAGGAAACGGGTGGAATGTGCCGTGTTCTGGCTACTCCCCAGCATAGCCCTTCTCCTCAGATGGGGCTATTGCCATCTTGGTGGGCTCTTTAACTGAACACCACAACCTCAGAGGAAAAGTGTGGCAAAATTTCAGCCCATGCATGACCAAGGGACCAGTAATCCAATTTTCCAGTTTATTCTGGCATCAGTCTTTTGAG